GTAAAGGCCTGGAAACTAGAAAAAACACTTGTAGCTATGATTTTTGACACAACTCCATCAATGTCAGGATGGATAAATGGTTCTGCAAAGTTTATCGAAGAACACTTCAATAAAAAGTTACTTTGGCGTGCCTGCAGACACCATATCTCAGAAAGAGTTTTGTCATCTGTTTATTTATTGGTTAAACACAATGAAATTCTTTTAATCAATAATTACTCAAAAACTAACTGACAAATTTTTTTAATTTTTTTGCACACAGAAGCTAATGTGATGTTGTTTGATTGTAATGGTAACAAGTATTGGTTATCATCGCTTTCAGATTAAAATGAGTAAACAAATATTAAATCAAAAAAAGTTTTAGAAAATTTTCTTCAAAATCTTTCATTGTCACAAGTTGACATTTCAAAATTGACCGGTGTTTCTCCATCATCAGTTGGATTTATTTTGTAGCGATATAAACAGATTCAATCTATTGAAAGAGAAGCTGGAAGTGGAAAAAAGAAAGGGTTTAAAGATAAATATAAAGCAAAATCAATCATTCACTCCATAAAAAATGTGATAAAATTTAAATGCAGCTTTGATAGGAAAAGTACTTAGATCTCAAGAATATAAGGCATATCATAAAAAAAACTCCAAAGCGATGGAGAAATTAAAGCAATTCGTTGTTCAAAAAAGTTATATAAACTTTTTATCCAAGAAAACTTGTGCATAATTAAAGATGATGAAACCTATTGCAAAAGGACTTTTCACAATTGCCAGGGCAGCAATATTTTTATCATTTGAAAGGTAGATATTTTGCTAAAAAATTCAAGTATATTCAAACTGAAAAATTTGCTCCCAAGTTCCTTATTTGGCAAGCAATCTGCTCCTGTGGCAAGCAGTCTGCTCCTGTGGTTTAAAAAGTAAACCATACATCACTCGTAAAACTTTGAAGATTTATATATAAAAGAATGCTTAAAGAAACGTCTTTTGCCATTTATTGAAAAGCATGAAATGCCCACAATATTTTGGCCTGATTTGGCTACAATTCACTACTCCAAAAAGTCTCTAAAATGGTGTGAGCAAAATGGCGTCAAATTTGTTCCTAAGGAAGCAAATCCTCCAAATTATCCTGAGCAGTGAGTTATTGAAAGTTATTGGTCAATTATAAAAGGAATATTATTGAAAAGCAAGAAATTAGCTACAAATAAAAAATGTAAAAAATTATTAAAATAAACAAATAATTCAATTAGCTTTATTGTATCAAAAAATTACAAAAGTCTATTAAGTAGTTTTTGCGTAATTAACAATTAAAGGGTGTTGAATTTCATTGTGTTCAACTGATAACAGTTTTTGGAAAATGTTGATCTCCTTATTATGAGCCAATTAAACACTTTAAAAATGATGTATGGCCTAACTTTCATTAAGTTCAGATAACACTTTTAGAAAAACTAAAATTGAGAAACTAGTATTAAAGATCAAACAAGCAGAAGTGAAAATTTTTTTGTCTGGTTTACTTAACCGAAAGTCTCAAAAAATATTAAGAGATGATTATCAAGAATGTTGCAAACTTGCTTTGCAATTATTGAATACAAAACAAATAAGTGTACAGTGAAACAAAACTGGGTCTTTCCATTATGCTAGATGGATGTGTACAATTTTGTATACATCAAAAATGTTTGCTTTTGCTGAATTGGCAGAGTATGAAGGAAGAAATTTATAAAAATCTTGGTTTTATAAATTTATTTTAAGGCTATTTTTTATGTGAAAATGTGGCTTACATGTACAAACACAATTTATGCATCATTTAATGACTTGAAATTCTACAAAGAAATGCTTCCTTAAAAAAAATTGACAATGATGTTGATGTTGCTGCCCTCAAAACATTTAATTGGCATCTTTGGCATTTAACAGAATGTCTCCTTTCTCACTATTTTCTGATAAAGTGTCTGATTGTGATAAAGCTAAAATTGTAAAATAATTCTTAAAAATATAAAAGAAAACTGGGAACATGATTTAGGCTTTCCACAATTTCTTCTTTTGAAACCGAGTACTCATTTAACTGATTCAGTTGGACCAAAATCAAGCAACATTTTAAATTCATTTGGATGTTCAAACAAAGATGGTGTTTGGTTAGTCCAATCCCCAAAGTTTCGGAAAGCTAACACAAATTTTCAACACATGTTTAAGCATAATAAATCATTGAAATCTGTAAATGATAAAGCAAACAAGCTGTCAAACTAATTCAAGACAATGCAAAGTTTATAACCAAAGTTGATGAGCAGAAAGAATTTTTTTTATGTGCAATAGAACACCACCGAAAAATTCTTCCACAGATAATTTAAATCTTCCCACAGATAATTTCCACAGATAATTCAAAAACTAAATTTTTAAAAATTTAAATAATGCTTTAATTATACCTTTCAAATATTATTTTGTTGTTGTCATAATTAAAAAAAAAACAACTTTAATTTTGAATTTCTTTGTACTCAGTCCTAGTTTAGTTGCAGTTAAATATTTTCAATTTATAACAATTTATTTGCTTTGTTTCTCATAAAAAAAAAGTTTTAATAATGAATCTTTTTTTTTATATTTAAAAAGTCTAAAAATTCATTATTTTAGGCATAAAAATATCATGATCAGCAAAGTGGAGGAGGGGGGGAGGGGCTGTGGGGTTTTGGGTATCATGAGGATTGGGGGGATTGGGTGTCTTGGTTGGTGAATTTCTTTTGAATAAATTTTTATTTGGTTTTAGTTTAAACAACTATATATAAAACTATTTAAAAATATAAACTTAGTTAAATATATTAATAGATAAATGTAAGAAGTTTATTTGGGATTAATTTAAGGAAAACACTATAAGGGTTGTAAGGGGGTCATATTTGAATTTTTTCAAAAAATAACATGTCATTAGATTTTATTAAACTAAACTAAAATTGTTAACAATGTGAACATGTTGATTATCAAAAATGTTTTTAGTCCTTTTTGGCAAAATTAGACACACGCAAATGATGTTATAAAAAAACAGGAAGTTACAGGGGCTTTAATACATACATCGAATACCAAATAGCCTGATCCGCAACGAAGTCCTGCTACATTTCCTCAAGGTTTATATATATATACACACTTATCCATAATTTAGCTTATCCATTATTGTTAGTCTTGTGATGTTAGCTTTGTGATTTTATGATGCTTTAAAACCATATAAAACAGTTGCAAATGATCAGTTTTTAAAATTTGTAAACCATCTTTCAAAAAAAAAAATATATTTATATATATATATATATATATATATATATATATATATATATATATATATATATATATATATATATATATATATATATATATATATATATATATATATATATATATATATATATATATATATATATAATATATAACATAATCTCTATGGATAAGTAGTCAGTTGGCTTTTTAGCATTTTTAGCACCATGTTTTTAACATTTTTAACACCTCGCCCAACAGTTTGTTTACCAATTCTTCCCACAGTTTCTTTGATAGAAGGGCTAGTACCCAATCATTACCTCTTGATCACAAAATATTTAATTTTTTTTTCTTATTAACACAAATGCAAAAAAAGTTTGTTTTTAGCCTTTTTTTATTATTAAAGTCAATTACTGCTGTTATTTGAAGAATTTTTTTTTTTTTGCTTCTTCTAAACCTGTTTTGAGTTTTTTATTTCTTAGATTTTCTCATTTTTGTTGTTCTGTAGATGATTTAATCAATATGATGTTTATAAATGACTGAATCTATAAATGAGACCATCTTTTTAGGCAAGTAACCTAATATTTGCAATACACAAAATATTTAAATACATTTTTTTCTTATAAACGCAAATGCAAAAAAAAATTATAGGTATGATGTTTTTTTCCTTGCTTATTACACAGAGACTAAAAAGGTTTTTCTGTGAAAAAAAAATATTATTCACAATTCATTATAAATTAAATAATGTTAAAATAAATATTTAATTTTTAACTATTTAATTATTTTAATTAATTAAACTCTTAATTAAAGAGTTTTATGAAACTTTCTACGATACAATATTTGAAGTGCAATAGTATTTTTTTTTATAATATCATTTTAGTTGCAACACTCAGTTGTTAAAAGTAGGTAGCAGAAAGAAGTGAAAAACAAAAAATAAAATAGATTTCAGCATCTGATTAAAGTCATTATTTCAGTAGCTGCTTGCAATAGTATTTTTTTATCCACATTTTTGAATGAATTGGCTCCTAAATTACAGAAAGAGCAGAATTGTTGAAATGTGAAAGGTTTTGAGATATGGAAGGCCATCAAAATATAATTTTTTTTTGTACACATTAGCCCTAATTAATTTATGTGTACTTGTTCCTCAATTGAAAAGCTAAGATTAACTTTTTTCTTTTTAAACTTAAATTTGTTGATGTACTAAAAAGACATGGCATGTTTTACACTTTTTCTTCTTTTTCAAGATGGCCAAAATTTCAAGATCAGAATTTTTTCTTGTACCAAAGACTTTATAGGTATTAAAGAATTTGATCTGTTACCTTACTTATCAAGCACAACTGCACAAGTACACAATTTGAAATATGACATCATATTGAAAAAAACAACCTTCAAACGTCAAAATAATCAAATAGCTTATTTTGCCTGCCATAATAGCAGACTTTAACAAAACTTTTGAAGGAAAAAAGCAAAAAGTTTTAAGTTTCAATTTAGAAAACTTAGATACTAAGTTCAGATTTTTTTGACAGCTTACTAATGCATTTGATTAAATGAGAAAAAATTAGGAGTGGGGAGAGAAAATAATATCACATTTGAATTAAAAATTTCGCACTTACTTCATAAATAATGAAAAAGCTGTTTTTAAATCTGAAAGCTTCATAGTTTTAATTCATATGTTTTGTATCTATATTTGTATATATAAAATATGCTAATAATTTGACATAAATCTGTCACTATATTGTTTATTTAACAAAATATTGAATTTTATAAAGTTGTTTATTGTTTTATTATCTTAGGTAGACTGTTTAGCATCAACTTGTGGTCTCCTTCCATTTGTTAAACAAGATCAACCAGATCAAATTTATCGCTTATGGCTTTCCCTTTTTTTACATGCTGGGTAATAAAATTTTTTTTTCAGTTTTTAATTATAAATAAAAATTACATTTATTATTAAAGTAAAAAAGTACTAAGAAAAAGAAAAAATCACATAGCCTAATCACATAAGAATCTTTTCAACAGTTCTAATAATAATGGGCAACATGCTACTATCAAGTGTAAAAATGTGAGTAGTTGTGTAAATGTTCTGTTAAAAAATTGTTCTGTTTTGTAAAATTACCACCTTAAAATTGTAGATATTAATTAAAGAGCATCAACCAGTGCAGTGTTGGAGTTTTTAATACTTTTGATTAATTTATTAATTTTCGTGTACAAATAATGAACTTTGTGATGAATAAAACTTGAAAAACGTTGTCTCTAAACAGTTACATAGTTATTTCTCTAAATTAAAAAAATGCAGCACTTTTATATAAAGAAACTAAATTAGCACTATTTGGTTGCACTTGTTTTGTCCGATATTGTATATACCTCTTAAGTTCATTTTTAGCAGATTCAGTAGCATTTAGATGGAGTATATCACTATCATCATCATCTGATACATTGTCTTCTAAAATTGTGTCCCATCGGGATTTTGCTGCTGATGATTTGCAAACCTTGATATTAAAAAATTTCAAGTTATATAAAAAATCAGCAAAAACAAAGCTTTATAAAGCAATTTGAAATGTATTCAGTTTTAAATTGAGTTTCAAATTTATTCATGTAATAATGAAGTATCCGTTTTACCATGATTAAGCTGACTTATTATGAGGTACAACAACTTGACTTTATTGCATATTGAACTCTTTAGTAGATGTTTGGAATCAGCTTAGTTCGATTTTTTTCTGACGGATCTTTAAATTTTTTTGAAAGACGGTTTATAAATTTTAAAAACTGATCATTTGCAACTGTTTTATATGGTTTTAAAGCATCACAAAGCTAACATCACAAGACTAACAAGAATTCTCCTTTAATTTTATCAGGATTATCGTAAGTCCATTTTTTTCAATAGTATTGCGTACTAAGGTAAGCAATCTGATGTCATACTGAAATAGCCTGCTGCTGGGGGCTTCAGTACATACATCGACTGACAAATAGCCTGACTCGCAGTGGAGTGCTGCTACATCGGCTGAGGGTTTGGGATAGGGAAGCAATATATATACATTTATACATACAGTATATATTTATATATAGATAGATAGATATAGAAATTCTATGTATATTATATATATACATATTCTATGTATATTATATATATATATATATATATATATATATATATATATATATATATATATATAATGTAAATTAAAAAATTGTTAGATATGTTTGTATATAATCTTTATAAAACTCCACTAGTATCATATGTTTGTATATAATCTTTATAAAACTCCACTAGTAAAATAGACTCAAACCACGGTTTTTTTGTTCAGAAGCTCAGCTTCACTCCCCCACGCTGGCATGTTGACGAATGAAATTTTTAAACTATATAAAAATATTTTCTGACAAAAATTACTGCTGCAGATCATAAATTAGGGAGAGGTTGGCGCAATGCAATTTTCAAGCGAAAGTAAAACTGTAAAACTTGATATATGTTTTAGTATATTTTAATTTTTCATTACATAATTAGAAGCTTATGTACGTTAGATATTTGCATACATTTTCGTTCACATTTTCTTATAAAACAAAGCTGCTGCAACTCTTTCTTGTCATTACCTCGGTTACAATGGCTGTCAAGAGTTCTATGTCAAACAGGCTCAAAAGGGCACTACTACTACTACTACTACTACTACTACTACTACTACTACTACTACTACTATTAAGTCCAGTATTATTAATTAGATTTAACCTTGTATTTATTGAATAATATTTTTATATAATTAATTACTATACTACTGTTTAACAATTGCCTATTGCATTTTAGCAATCTAGTTTCTAAAAAAGAGAAACATTTATTTTTATATAATTTTTTCTGATTTGTTATTTTTAGTTGTTTAGATTTTTTTTTCACTTAGAATCTTGCATCTTGTCATAGTTTTAATTTTCAACTTTACTATCCTACAAGATATTGAATTGATGGCTGGTTGGTTGCGCACTGCTTTGATATACTTGTTAAGTGGTATTGGTGGTAGCTTGTGGAGTAGTATCTTGCTCCCGTATTCACCAGAGGTTTTTTTTTATTTTATTTGCATAAATCAAATTTTTTTGGGGTCTAAATAAAATTGTATAAATATTTTTTGTGTTCAAGTATTTTTTGCATAGTTTGCAATACAGTGTCATCAGACTTGTGTGTTTTGTGCCATTTGCAATACAATGTCATCAGATCCATGCGTTTTGCACAATTTGCAATACAATGTCATAAGATCTATGTGTTTTGCCCAACTTGCAATACAATGTGCATAATAAAGTGCATGTGTTTGCTACTAATATATGCAAGTTTTTGTACTTCTTCAACTTGTTTAAAAACCTAAATTTTTTGAAACATTTTTGAATGGCTTAAAATCTCATTCATTAAAAACAATATAAAAAATGAATACTCAAATTTTTTTATATGCAAAAAGTATTTTTATTTTTTTAACATATATACATATAGTCTTTTGTTAAATACATCGCAAGTTATAAAAAATGGTATTCTGCTTTAATTTAACTAAATGAAGGAACAAATCCATTAATAATAACTAAAGGAAGGAACAAATCCAATAATGATAACTAAAAGAAGGAACATATCCATTAATAATAACTAAAGGAAGGAACATATCCATTAATAATAACTAAAGGAAGGAACAAAATTAATAATAACTAAAGGAAGGAACAAAATTAATAATAACTAAAGGAACAAAATTAATAATAACTAAAAAATATCTTAAAATTCCCAATTTTTCTTTTGATGACATCTGATGATGTAATCAAAAGAGAAATTTGGGAACAAAATATTTTTATACAGTATATAAATTTAGTTATTTATCTTACATAATGGTCGCAGGAATACAAATAGTTACCTTTTTTTTTTGCAAATAAAGTAAAACATGTCTTTCAAACACTATAAATGTTAGTTTTTTTACAGTAATATCTATTGTAAATAGGGCTAGTTTGATAATCAGGATTGCTTGTTGAAGTGTTGTTTTGGTTTGTTCTAATGCTGCATTAAAGAGGTGATTGTTAAGAATGCAATGTTTGAACACTATAATTCATTGCTGATTAGTACATATTGTGGAATGAAATAAATGTTTTTCGACGTTTATTATTTGGTTACTCTGTTTCGAATAGTGAAGTTATGAAATTTCAATTATTCAAATATATTCAATGTAAAAAAATACTAAAAATTTTACAAACTTTATTTTATTTTAGGATTTCATTATAAAATGTTTTAAAAACACTAAGAAGTTATTGTAGGATTACAATAATCAAAAAATAATAAATGGCTTTTTCAGTAAAAAGTTTTGTATTGTATTATAATTTAGTTGTTTAATTTATATTCAAAAAGTTGTATTATAGGAAAAGTATAAAATTAAATATGTTGAAATTCAAACTTGTTCTTTTTTTTTTTCTTAATCAATCCAGTGACAAAAAACACATGTTCTGTGGATGTTGATGTTGGTTTGGTTGTCAGAATGTCCAATAAAGCAGTTTTTTTTTTTTGAATAAATCCAATTAACAAATTTCCATTTTTAACTAGGTTTAAGTTATTGACCATTTTTTACTGTAACAGTATCAGATTATTTATTTATTATTGACAATATTGCCTTTTGCAGGTCTTGTTGTAAATTTAATTCCACAATATCTAATTCTTCAGTTGAACTTGAAATATTTATGTTTAGTTCTTCTCCACTAAAAATTTGTAGATTGATCCTTTCCAATATTTCATTAGTTAAAGTAGCAATACCTTTTCTTGATAAGTATTTGAAGTTTTCTTTTGATTGAGGAACATCTGGAGATAAGTTAGTTTTTACATTGAGGCCTTGTTTCTTTTCTCATTCATTCTTTTTTTTTTTTTTTTTTTTTTTGACTTAGTTTAACTTAATTTAACTTTTTTAACTTTTTTTTTTATATATAGTATATTTTTGCTTAAATTGGATTTCATATCCTCTAGCTTATCAAACATAAATTTATGCACGTCTTCATCTGTTCTAAGGTTTGCACCATTCTTGAATAGTTCCTTGACTGCTATTTCCAAAGGCATTAAACAGTTTAACAAGTTGGCAAGCAATATGTCTTCTAAAGAAAATGTGAGTTTCATTTTCCCTTTATGACTGACCATGTCATCACAACAATGTCATCAAACACTTTTGACCTGATTTAATGCTTAAGATCAAGGACAGAATTTTTTTTGTTAAATTGTTAAATTGTTTTTTTTTAAATAGCAGTATTTTTTTTTTAAATAACATTTTTTTAAAAAGCAAAAAACACCCTTAAGTATTTTTTAAAAATACTTAAGATTGTAAACTCTGCAATCATCATACACTTACTGAACAAATTATTTATAAAATTATATATTTATAGAGTATAATTGATAAGGGAATAAATAAGGAAAGAATTTTTAAGAATTATTAAAAGACCTATTTAAAAATTTAAATATTTACATAGTTAAACTGATAATATTAAAATTTCATATATTATTTGGCATGATGTTTAAATCAGTTGCGCCATTTTCATTTGTCGTCTTTTGACAAATTACTTACTTTTTTTATTAAATTTTTACTCTTAGTATTTACTGTTACTCTTAGTATTTACTGTTGCTTAATGTTGTGTTTGAACACAATCAGATCATCTGATCAAACACTTTTTCTGATGTTTTACAAACTTTGTGTCACCACAAATTTTCTTGATATTTTACAAACTTTGTGTCACCACAAATTTTCCTGATGTTTTACAAACTTTGTGTCACCACAAATTTTCCTGATATTTTACAAACTTAGTGTCGCTACAATATTCTTGTATTTTATCTAAGTTCTTCTCTCTTTTCATACACTTTTTATACACAGTTACCCGTATCAATTACAAGTATCCTTATTAATGGATATGTTCCTTCCTTTAGTTATTATTAATGGATATGTTCCTTCCTTTAGTTTTAACTTTATTCAAACTTTACTGTAGTATTATCAAAACAAACAAAACAAAACTTTCATAACTTTCACGAGATATTTCTGTTTAGATTTAGATTTGTTTAGAGTAGATCAGTATTTGAAAAGTCAATTATCCCAGTAGTCGCCTTTTTTTTATATATATATATATATCAACCCCCCCTCCCTCCCCCAAATTGACATGCTCCCTAAACATTCAGACACTCAATGCAACTAAGGCATAGAACAAACTCGTAAAAAAAAAGTCGATAATTTAAAACAAATCCGATTAATTGTTAGTGGGAAACCGAAAAACTTGGTACTTAATTTATGCAAACAAAGAATTCGAATTGAAAATAATTTGTTTATAAGGTTTACCGCCTCTGTTTTTTAATTGTTTACGCAATAATTTATTATTTCAAGATGGCCGAATAAGTCCCAAGTATTTCAAAAAAAGATATTAAATACCGAAAACAGCTTTTTTAAATGGGGCTAAAAGTTATGATTATTTATGCAAAAACGACTTTGGTAGAAAAATTAACACAGCCATAGCTTATCTAAATCTAACGTGACATTGTTGTTAAACATACTCATTTAGGTGCGGTATTGAAAATAGTAACTTCAATTTTCATAAAAAATGATTTTTCATGGATAATTTTCCTAAATAATGTCTGATTAAAAATGTCAAGTTACATTGATTGAAAACAAACACCAATACGTGCTTTTATGAAAAAATCAAATTCATAGACTTATCTATAGCCAAGCCCCAAGGTATTTTATGTTAAAAATTGCATCTTTTCGCTTGACGCTTGACGCTTTGTTATAGTCGCATTATTTTTACCAGATTATAATAGTAGTTAAAATAATCTTTCCATACATACCAAATATGTCATACTTTTTAATGAAAAAACTTACATATATTGTAATTGAAAAAACTTATATTTTTGTTCGGAAAAACGTGTATCAGGCCTTAGTTGCATTGAGCATCTTGAGAGTTATTAAGAATCATTAGGGTAACAAATAAGCATTACAACACTTTTAGTTAAAAAAAAAAAAACATTTTTACTTTTTTTGCTTCAAACTTTGAACCAAAATATATTTATTTTTTATTTTAAGGTTGGTCCGTCTGGTTCTTGTTTTGGTATTATTGCATGCTTGTTTGTAGAATATATTCAAAGTTGGCAACTATACAAGACTCCCTGGATAGGTTTTTTCAAATTATGCGGATTAGTTTTAGTTTTGTTTTTAATTGGTTTGCTGCCGTATATTGATAACTTTGCCCACATATTTGGTTTTGTTTACGGATTTTTACTTTCAATAATTTTCCTTCCTTACATCACATTTGGTGATTGGGATCGTCGCCGTAAAAAAATTCAAATTGCTGTTGCTATAGTAATACTTTTTATTATCACAACTGTTGGTTTTATTTTGTTTTACAAAGTTCAAGAGTTTCACTCTGCCGCTATTACTTTCTTTAATTGCATTCCAATAACAGATAATTTTTGTAAGAATTACCATCAAGGACAGTCGTTAGAATCGAGAGGAGATTTTTGAAAAACATTGTAAATAGCTATTTCAATAAATGTTTGTTAATTAGTTATTTTTTATTTTTTTTTAATTTATGTGTAGCTTACCAAAACAATCGTACACAGTGAATAAAGAAAGCTTGGTAGCTACAAAAATATTTTCCTCTATAATTCTTCAAGTTATGATAACAATTTGTTTTATAGATACATATTATAGTAATTTGAATATTTGTTTTATAGATACGTATTATAGTAATTTTGATAGTTTAAACGTTAAGGGAATATTTGTTACAGGTATGGCTAGTTCAGCAAAGCTCTACACACTGTGGACCAGAGTGACCATCAGAGAAAGTTGTTCCCCTGGTCTGGCTTTTTCTTATATAATAGTTAGATATACATTAGTAAACACTATTTATGGTCTTTAGAACTTTTGGTAGTTGGACAAAGTGAAAAAATTGTTGTTTAAAAATAAGGTTTTTTAAATAATAAAAATGTTTATAAATTTTCGACAAAAACATTGAAAATCCGCGAAGATTGTAAATTGTGGAAACAATTGCTGGTTGTTCATATAAAAAGTTATATAAGTACCTGGGAAACTGGATAGAGAAAATATCCACAACAAAGTTCTGTTTTGTAGTTTTTTTTTACTTTTTAATATTATTTTCTAACAAATACTTCTGTTTTATTGACATACATATATTTTCATTATACTTAAATGTATATTCAAATATATTTTTATGTATATACAAATGTTTATTCATGTATATATACTTATAGTATAAGCATGATATAGACATTTAAGTGTATTGTAAATCTATGTATATATATATATGTACATGTATTGTATAAGTTACTCGTTATACGTAAGTTATACATATATACATATACTTGTATTTTTAAATGTATGTCATACTTTACTGTACATTTAAGTGTCATAAGATTACATAAGATGAATAGACTATGTAATCTCATCACATAATATATATTGAGACATTTAAGTATATTGTATATGTATATGCATATATTGCATAAGTTATACCATTAGGCGTATTTACATATACAATATACTTGAGTTTAACTGTACATACTTAACTGTAAATTTAAATGTGATGAGAATACGTAGAATGAATAGGCTAAAGCTGACGGTAACCTTTGTAACCTTATTGACTCTGAAATTGCAAAGTGTAAAGTATTATGTTCCATTTGATCTTAAATGCACAAGTTCAGTGTTCAGAATAGCTAGTCATGCTGGGAAGTAAGGTTTTTTATGATGTGAGGGATCCTGCACTCTGGAGCCCGACAGCATATTTTGAAACCCTATACAGACTCAGAAATACCTTAAAATAGCGCAATCTGATTCGTTGGTTTTGAAAAAGAGGCGTGCGCGCGTTTTTTTAAAATTAGAAAATATATATCATGGTTTCAGAATTTTGAAATAAACTGTTTGAAGTAAATTTGAATTTGAATTTGAACAAATTTAAAGTTGAATTTGAAGCAAACAAGTAGCTTTTAAGCGTAAATTAAATACTGTTTTTCAAGGCAACAAGTTTAGTGAAATAAGCAAAACAAGTTCCCATTTTAGTAACTTATTTTACTTTTAGCAAACGCGCGCATGCTTCTATTTCAAAACCAACGAATCAGATTGCGCTATTCTAAGATATTTCTGAGTCTGTATAGGGTTTCAAAATATGCAGCCCGGCAAGATAAGAACTCTTAACTCATTAGATAAACATTACATAAACTTTCCCTTTGCACAGTGGGACAAAATCGAGTTTTTTGTGCCAAAATTATTTTCGTAGTTTTTTTATATTTTATTAGAACAGCTATATTTATATATAATATGCATAAATAAAACAATAAACATGTAATTATATAATATTAAAAAAAAAATTAAATTTTGGTGAAAAATGCAAAATATTTTTAATGGACAAGACAACTTTTATCAGTGTAAACATTAAAAATATTATTTTTCAATACATGTAATTTTCGTAAAGTAACTTTTTTAGATTTATATTTACTGAACTTATATGTTATAACAGTATTGAGAGGTCTTGTAGATATTCTTTGTGTACGAAACATCTTTTTTACATGTTCAGTATTTCTTATCAACTGACCATTAACCGAAGACCAATGTTTTGGTATAATTTTTTTAATTGTAAAATGTTGCAAAATATTCATGATGCATGGCTATTTACATACATTTAGCATGAGATTTACATTATTAAATGTTCGGAGGATATTGGAGGTTGGTTTATCTGATACCTAATAGTAAAGGTTAGCAGCAAAAAAAAAAATCGAAAACTATCTGTTTTCGATGCATAAAAACTAATAATTAGGCTTACGTTAAATTGTTTTTAAAAGTCTGAGCGAAAAAGACATTGCCAATTAAAATATATTTTAAAATGTCAATAAAGTTAATTTAAAACAATAGTAGCGTTAGAAATAAAAATTAGCGTTGATAAATAAAAAATGCAAAATAGCTTTTCGAAACACTTGTTAAACTAACGTGTAAATAACCACATAAAATAATGCTTAAATTAATATTTAATGTTTTTTTAATTAGATATTACCTCTAATGAACATTTGTTCACCATTATGACAAGTTTTCACCGTGCAATGCCGACATTGATTTTTTGTTTTTTGGCACACTCTATCCCACTGTTCCTTGACGGGAAAAAAATTTAAAAATGTTTCTTAACTCCATATTTTTAGTTAAGAAAATGTATGTATGTCAATAAAACAGAAGTACTTATTAGAAATTAATAATAAAAAATAAAAAGACTACAAAACATAGATGAACCAAAACAGAATCTTATTGTGGATATTTTCTTTATTCAGTTCCTTAGGTACTCCTGACTTATTTGTCTTATTATTATATAATTTTAGTTTTAGTTGGTTACCTCTAAACTTTATTGGTTCTAGACAAAGATTTTAATCTTTGTTTCAATTGAAGTAATCTTATGAGTTTTAGATGCCTTTACTAAAATGTGCATAAACAGCCCGCAACTGATTCCACAATTTACAATCTTCGCGGATTTTCAATGTTTTTGTCGAAAATTTATAAATATTTTTATGATTTAATAAACTTTTAAATAACAATTTTTTACTTTGTCCAACCCCTCACTTACATAGTCTATTCATCTTATGTAATCTCATGACACTTAAATGTACAGTAAAGTATGACATACATTTAAAAATACAAGTATATGTATATATGTATAACTTACGTATAACGAGTAACTTATACAATACATGTACATATATATATATATATATATATTAAATGTCTATATCACTTAAATGTCTATATCATGCTTATACTATAAGTATATATACATGAATAAACATTTGTATATACCTAAACATATATTTGAATATACATTTAAGTATAATGAAAATACATGTATGTCAATAAAACAGAAGTATTTGTTAGAAAATAATATTAAAAAGTAAAAAAAACTACAAAACATAGATGAACCAAAACAGAATTTTGTTGTGGATATTTTCTCTATCCAGTTCCCCAGGTACTTATGTAATTTTTTATATGAAAAACCCGCTATTGTTTCCACAATTTACAATCTTCGCGGATTTTCAATGTTTTTGTCGAAAATTTATAAATATTTTTATGATTTAATAAACTTTTAAATAACAATTTTTTACTTTGTCCAACCCCTCAGAAGTTCTAAATACCATAAATGATGTTTGTTAATGTATTTCTAACTATTGTAAAAATATTTCTATGTATTTCTAACTATTGCTAATGTATTTCTAACTATTGTAAAAGAAAAATCAGACCTGAAAAACAACTTACCCTGGCAGTCACTCTGATTCACAGTGTACAAATAGAAAACTTTCCTGATTTAATAAGCAATTTTCTTGTGATAAAGAATTCACTCGCTTCTATTTACATAACTGTAGTAATTAATTACATAATTGTAGCAATTAATTATATAAAAAAATATATAAACGCAAGCAGAAACCAGTTTATGTAACAAAAATTAGAAACAAATGAATTGAATAGCAATAGCAAAAATAATTTGCATGACAAAAATTTTGTTATCATTTTCATCATTGCTAAATCGACACTGACAAACCTATTGAAATGCTAATGCCACAACCAAACATCGAGCGTAGACAGACAAGACACTCTTGTAAAATGCAGCCCATAAAACATTATTAGCTAAAGCCCCTAAAGGATACTCTGTACTAGCGGCTCCTGCAATTTATGAGAAACCGTACCAAATTGTAAACTTAATTGTTAAAAAATACCTTAAAATAGGTCTAATTTCACCGACCAGGAAAAGGGTTCCATATTGACACTGGAAATAAAAAAAAGTTTAATCGCTCATGTTGATCAAAGTTCCACCATCCACATCTCATCACACCTAGCACATCTCAACTTTGAAAAAACATCTCTTATCCTCTGCAAAAATTAAAAACTCTATAAATACTAACTCATTCTCCATTCTTGACAGAGTGTCCTTTAAATACGAACTAAAAATCAGAGAAGAATAAAAAGAAATTAAAAATTAACATACGGGTAAAGAGCTATACCATTACCATTTTATAGTTTACCTGTAATTATTTATTTTATTCTATGTAACTATAGTATCATTTTTATAGTAATTAACTTTTGATGCAATTAAATAAAAAGCTTTTTTTTTATAAAATTGTCAAAATTTTGTCAAAATTTCCGCAAATACAATGACTTCTATAAGAATTCAAAAGTAAATTCTATAACTTGTTATTATTATTTGTTATTGTATTTTTTTTATTGTAGTATAAGAACTGATTAGTAAAAAATCTCGACACAATTCTATTCCGACGTTGTCCTTCAGGTCCGCAAAAATGAAAAATTATTTTATCATTTGCAAGACTACCTGCCATAATCCAAACTCTCTGTCAATGTATGCATACTTACTACGCCTATTCTTATTTAAGTCTATCAATTTACATGGGCGTAGGTAGTTAATTTAAATTTGGGGAGGGGGTTACTATTAGGAGAGAGACGCAATCTGTCATTTAACAATAATTTATTGTTAAATGACAGATTGCGTCTCTCTCCTAATAGTAACCTAAGAGTAATTTATAGTGCTATACATAAGGTATAAGTATTGCTACAGAATTCTGTGGCAATACTTATACCTTATGTATAACGTTATAAAAATATTTTTAAACGCTATAACATAAATCGAATAGTATTTAGAACGTTTCTATATAAATTAACTTAACGGATTGGTAGCATCAATTCCTATTTTTTCGCGTACTTTCTCGTAATTTCACGTAAAGTTTTTGTGGTGACTTTTTATTTAAAATTGTTTTTTTTGTATGAATTAAAATATGGCCTTCAAATATAATATTTTCAAATAATGGTACGTACATAATGTACATAATGGCTAAAGTTAAAGAAAAATAGAAATGGTAACCAAAGTTTGGTTTTGAAAAACAAGATTTATATAGTATGATACTTTTTTAAAACTTAATAGCATTATAACTTTAAGATTGCTAGTAACAGAAGATGTTGAAACAACAGAAGAATAAATAGTAGCAGCAATGGCAGGATCAGTAAGAGATGCACTTTTAAATCTAACGTAAAACCCGCTAGAAGTTGAAGTTTCTAATAAAAATGCAGTAATAACGTTAATTGAAGGACACGCAAAAGATGTATTCTTAACAGAAGAGGCAGTGTTTAAAGAAGTTTATGAGTTCTTGTAGTTCTTGCAGTTGTAGTAACAATTTTTACATAAAAAGAATATTTATTAATAAATTATAACTAAAAATTATGTGATTTGTATTTTCTTTTAGCGATTTAAAACGTTTCCTTTCCGCACCAGACTATTTTGCGTTTTTAAGACATATCACTGAGATAAATCATAAAACACGTTGTTATTAATGTTACAACAATTACAACAAACTTTTTTAAATTTAGTTTGAAACTAATAAATGCATAATTAACATATATATTGTTTTAATTAATGTAAATACAAACGTTTTTAGAAAAACTAGCCATTGCTCTTTTATGCAAACTGATATATAAATATAAATTTTTTCTTTTTAGTTTATATTTGTTGTCTTAGTAAATATATATATAGAGTGGCGTAGGAAGGAAAACAACCAAAGAATATTCCAATTTTTTTTACGTTCATAGTCATGATGAAAAGATTCTTTTAAAAAAAAAATTACTGTGATAGGAGGTTGGGAACAAAAAACCCTAAAATCTTAGCCCTCCCTGCCCCAAACGTGAGAGAAACAAGCTGGTGAAATATTTTTTGTACTATTTTCGACTAGGCTTATATTCATCGAGAAATTTTGAAATTCATGGTATAATTTCTCAGCCTTTAAAAATTATGACCATTTGAAAAGTTAATTTTTTTTTTAAATTTCTAAATGAAATTTCGGTTCGACAAAAGGGTTTATATATAAAATTACTATTTATAAGTGAATATTTAGTTATAGATTTCGAATAAAAGAGATCTTTGAAAACGGGTAAAAACATTTCATTATTCCACACATACGTAAAACATAAAACCTTAAAAACAATAAGCTCATAAATATTGAGAACTTTCATTTCAATAAAAAATAGTTTGGATTGAGTGTATCGATCCGCAAAACGAATTGCATATTTCTGGTGGCGATAATGACATTTCAACTTACTTTTTTCAGTGCTTTCCAATGCAATATTAGAATAATTTAAATAACTATAAATATATGAGTGATAAAGTTGAGTGAGACTTTATTTACATAGGGGAAGGTTGCGTAAAATGAGCAGGTTCCTATGATGGTACAACCTTTTTTACGAGTAGACTAATGTTTTTTTCGCGAACTTTTTTGGTTGAGAATATTCATACAAGTTTGACAGTGTTATTTATTTTAATTTCTTGGTTGTATAGTTAATACTCTTTGATTGTTTTACTTTTAAAAAACTTACCATCCCCGTTATAATTTTTTATCATTCAATATTTTTTATCATTCAATATTTTTTATCATTCAATACTTTTTATAATTTTTTATCATTCAATATTTTTTAATTACGTCAGACAAAACAAGATCATCAAAAATTTATTACATCCTCAATATTTTATGCTTATGTACTGCTAATTCCATGGGTTATATGAGATGATACATAAGCTGCTGTCATGCTATTTAAATAATGATAGTACTTGGTAAATTTGCTTAAGATGATACGTTTATTAAGAATATGATACGTTTTTTAAGAAAATGATACGTTTATTAAGAAAATGATACGTTTATTAAGAAAATTTGCTTAAGATGATACATATATTAAGAAAAGCGCGTTTTTCTAAATTTATTTTGGTATTTCAAGAGCTAAAAGTTCTTTCAAAAAATATAATCGTAAACTTTTTTAGAGATAACGCAATTTTTGGTATAAAGGTTTTTTTTAAATGAACTATACATTTATATTCTTTAAGAAGAAAGATTAATTTATGATAAATTGCAAAAATAAATTTAAACATTATAATATTTCGGCTGCAAAAAAACAATATACTGTTTACATGCTCAACATATGCAAAGTTCCCCAAGAACTTTTTAATATTATTTTTCAACGCGTTTTAAATGAAATATATTTATATTTTGAAAAGAATTATTTTTAATAGTATTTTTGAAAAAGTTTCTTCATTTTTGAACAAATGATTTCATCAAGTCCGGACTTACTGAAATTATTTTAACCGGCAACTACTTCGCACAAATGTCTATATCTTTAGAAACTGACGGTTCTACAAGGGAAGAACAAATAATACATTCTGTGCCATGCTTAATTAATCACAATAGTTATGCTAAAGTAGAATCATTCTTCATAACCTCACATAATGATGAAACAGGTAAAAATTTTTATTATTTTATTTATGCTATATATTCACATTCTTGAATTGTTAAAGCTTTACTTAGAAAAAGTATTATTTAAATACTGCAGAGAAATGTGTTAGATAATTCATCTTATTTTAAAAAAAACTTTTAAGATACAGTATTTTTAACTTATATATATGTTTAATTTTATATTTTTAGTATTTTTATTATTATTTTTTAATTACTAATGTTTTTAATAACCGTACAGAAAATATTGTAAATTATATAAATTTATTTATTTATATAGCAACTTAATGCTAGTTTAGTAACTTTTGAAAAATAAATGTTCTCTATTACAAAATAAATGTTCACTATATAAGTTGATTATTATTTAGTGTTTAAAGCAATTTTATTTTGAACTTTTTGTAGTCCAGTTGGACAAATCCTCAAGCTATTTCCTGGTATAGTTTCAAACCAAACACAAACAATGACTTCTGGCCTGCTCTATTGTGTTGCCTGCTTTTATGAAAAAAGTTTGTCTAGTGTAATGTTGATGTAACTCACTGTTTTTTGAATAGAATGGTTTAAATGTATCATTTTCAGTTGATGTAACACCGTGAATGAAACAGAATGATTTTAAAATTATTATATTTTTTACACTGATCCAACCAAGCAATTTCAACATTTCTGTTTTATGAGTTAATCAGTGACATTTTAATATAACTCTCATTGCTTTGTTTTGAAGATTTGTAGGATATTTAAATTATTTGTGTTGACATCAAGAAAAATAGATGCACAGTGTTCATAGTCGGGAGCAATTATAGTTTGAAAGGTTATCTTTTTGGTCCATTGAGTTAAGTTTTTTTTTTTTTAAGTTGATTAAGGTACTCCAAGAAGTCCTCACGGTCTTATCAAAGAGCACCGCGAAAGAGCATTTAATAGGAAGTTCACACCTCCTTCCCAACCGATGTCGCAAAACTTGCCCAGAAGTGGGGTTTGAACCACGGATCTTACGTTTTTGAGGCAAGTGCGCTACCACTGCGCCACGGCTGCTAAATTAAGTATTTGCATATTCTACCAAGATATCCAGTTTTCTTTGCAATTTTGTTTGATATATATTTGATATGTTCAGTAAAATTAAGTTGGTAATCAATGATAATCCCAAGATATTTCACGCTATCACTAAACTTTATGACTACATCATCCAATATCACTTTTATGTTATTGTTATGATTTATTAAACTATTTTTTTCTTTTTTTTTAAATTAACAATAAGCATTACCATGGCCTTAAGAGTATTTAAGTTTGTTATTACTTAGCCATTTACAAAGTATTTTTAAGTCTTGATTTAATTTAAAAATAGTTTCTTCAAAGTTTGTAACCTCAATTCCATAATACAGTTAATATTATATGGTACAGTATAACACAGTTAATATTATATAGTACAGTATCAACTTGTGAGATATAAATATAATATATTTATATTTAAAGCAGTATTTATATCAGTATTTCATATGTGCATTACTTTAGTCATGCCATAGCCTTGATATTGTTTATAATCATTGTCAAAACAGATTTTTTTTTTTTTTTTCAGTTTATTTTGGAAACAATTCATCAACAAAATAATTTTTAAAAGTAATCTTAATGCATAAATTTCAATAAATTTTATTGTTTTATTAAAAACAGTATATAGCTATGCATTTAAATATAAATAATAATAATAATAATAATAATAATAATAATAATAATAATAATAATAATAATAATATGAATACACTTCAGTTAACTGAAGTGTATACATTTTTTTATAAAAAAAAACATCTTCTCCTTCCAACAAGGCAACCACTAATTAGTGTTGGAAGTTATTGGAAGAGAAAAGTTAAAGATTGTAGAGCAAGATAACGATTGACAGACGACTTAAAAGATTGCAAATTATATGAATCAGGAAAGCAAGATGAAGGAAGCGAATTCCGAAGAACTGATGTTCGAGGAAAAAAACTAGACATATAAGAGTTTTTGGAGCACTTAGGAACAGTCACAGAAAAAGGATGAGACTTTATTGAGTGACGAGTAATACAAGAGTGAAGGTTGGCTGCAAGAGCAGGTCCAACTATGTTTACAATGGGTTTTTGCACCTTGTCTAAAAAAGAAAAGGCATCATAGGAAGATCCGCCCCAGATATGGCAACAGTATACCATACAAGAATGAATTTTAGATTTATAGAGATAGAATCCAGAGTAAGAAAATGTCGAGGTCGATAATAGAGCTCGACACTTTCTTACTCTGACTAGAATATAATGGTAGTATCATCAGCGAACAATGCCACATTAGATGAGAGAATATCTGGAAGATCGTTAATGTAAATTAAAAAGAGTATAGGGCCAAGGATTGAATCTTGAGGAATCCCTGAGGTTACAGAATAAGAAGAAGCGTGCTATCCATCAAGGACAACTTTCAAGCCTTCCCAGCAAAGGCGTCTCCTACGTCCACAAAAACGTTTTTTAATTTAGACAACTTGATCATGGCCGTTTGCGCAAAGTTTTATTATATGCGTTGCTGAAAAATTGTTTTAAATTTAATAACTATATAAGAAATCAAAGTAAACTTAAATAGAAAACAATAATAATAGTTTAAATGATTTATGTGTTGTTTTTATTTTTGTTTTTTCATGGTGGTTATTATTATTGGCAACAAAATTCAGTAAGTCAAAGCAAAAAAAAAAAAAGGTTTTAAGCGTTAAAAAGGATGGCTTTCCCATATTTTATGTGTTTTTTCTTTTAAAGAGGAAAGAGAAGATATGTATCGTGAATTCTTATGAATGTAAATGCCCAGGCCAAGCATGTGACTATTTGAGTCTTTACGAATTAAAGAACTTTACAAGAGATAAGACTTAACAGAAGAAAAATTACTTTGAAGACCACAAATATTAGTGAATGATAGGTTTAGCAAACTTGGTGATGACAGTGATTTTTTGTGTTTTATAGTTTTTGCTACTTTATTCATTTTTAAATTTGTTAAAGAACTTGACTCGAAACATAGATAGTACTCAGTACACTTTTTTTTAGTCCAAGCAATTGCCTCATTACTATTAATAAACCCTAAGCCGTAACAAAGGGCTGCAATATAGCCTTGGCAATGCATACCAAAAGTACAAACAGGGACACCATCCATGTGCAACATGGAACTGTTAATACTTTGATATTTTTCATCTGTTGATGGAATCAGCCTCTCTGAGAGCTACCACATAGTTCAGGAAACCTGTCTACCAGCCGGCCTCAGAAACATAAAACTGAGTTTTAGAGCTGTACCCTCATTAGGAGATAATAGAATGAGTTGTCTAGTCATAAAAACAGAGACACAATCAAAACCCATGCATCAGGTCAAGAAGATCCAGTATTCAACATTCTAAACTGGAAACAATGTAATAAAAATATATCTGCGCCAGCCTAATAGATAAGGAAGGGGTGCAAGGCTGGTCAACAGATAGAATCTGTTTACCCCTTAATTACATATTACCATGACTCAATATGTTTTCTGCAGTATGTAAACACTTTAATTATTAACTCATTTTGTATCCTGTAGTATGCAGGTATTATCTTATTCCAGAAATTTCCGGAATTCCGGATATTTTTTTCGTCTTTTAGTTTTTCCAGATATCCAAAACATTTTCTATACATACATGTTTAAGTATATATTTTTGTAATATATTTGTTTTTTAAGCTTTTTCACTTATCACACATAGAAAAAATATAAAAAGTTTGAAAAAAAAAAAAAACTCCGGATTTTTTCCGGATATTTTATCCAAACAATTTTCCGGATTTTAAAAATATGACCTGGATAATCTGAGTATGTATACACTTCAAAAAGGTGAAAGCCTAAATTCAATATTACAAAATAGTTTTTATCTTATTATTTTTATTTTTTTGGCAACTTTGTAAATTTGATGATAACTAAGGTTGCTGATAAAAGATTTTAAGTTAGATTAAAACCTAACATACAAGGTGTAACTAGTTTTAAGTGCAGTTATATATATGTTTCTTATATAGTAGGAAAGAAACTGTTGTAGATTGGGCTATTTTGTCTCTGGAGGGAGAAAATAGTTAAAAATTAATTTATTGTTTTTATTTTTTTTTCAAGTTGTTACAATTGATTTCCAACATAAGGTAACAAAATATAAAATATTAAATATACTTTCTTCAGTTCTTTGGAATTCACTCCCTTTATCTTGTTTTCCTGATTTATATAATTTGCAATCTTTTAAGTTGTCTTATATCTTTATCTTACTTTATAAATATATATATCTTTATCTTACTTTATAAATTTCATCTTTTTTTTTCCTACGACTCTAATAGTGGTTGCTTGCAGTAAAAAATTATAATTTCAAGATTATAGATAAGATAAGAAGAAAAATCTTATTACCATTAATCTTATGTAAAAAAAAAAAAAAATCATTTATATTTATAAAAGTTGATCTTTTTCAATAACTAAATAATTTCATTAAAATACTGTTTATATTTAAAAACATTTCTGTCAACATCAAAACCAACAACATATTTGACTTTAAAACATGTATTACTGACATTTTACTATCTTACTGACATTTTATTTTGATATATGCGTATGTGTATACATGTGTCTTTTCTAGTGTAAGTGTATTTGATATTTATATGTCTAGGTATTGACATATTTGTTTATGGAGTTTGGAGTTGAAATTATGGAGTTGGAGTGAAATTATATTTCCTTCAAAATTTTCTATATCTGACCATATTTTATTTATATACATTTTATCATCTTACTGACATCTTTTTTTTTTTTTTTGATTTTTGATAAATATTAAGTAACAAGTAGAAATGACATGATGCAATTTTAAAGAACTTTTTCCTCTGTTAATTGTTTTTTATTCTATTATACATAAGTTATTATAGTTCATCAGTTAGATATTTTTCCAAAATGACAACATCTCATCACATCCAATAGTTCTGGAATTTACTTGTTTCTTGTTTTAAGGGTTAATGAAAAAAAGTAAAAAAATAAATATAAATTTAATTTAGGATTATTGAAGTCTTCATTCAGAGGTAGACCATTGCAGGGAAAGGAGATAAATATACCTAAAGGATATGAAGGTATGTAATGAGGTATAATAAATATATTTTTATATAGATAACAAAATTATAAAATTATTCCACAGTCTAGTTTTTTTAAATATCTAAATATTCTAAATATTTTAGGTAGTGTTTTGGTTGAAAAAAATGGGATAATAAGCGATCATCAGGTATGATTATCATTTCCCCATGAGAGTCTATATATCTGAGATACTAATATATTAATAGATCTTAATGAGGAAATTACTTTTACTTTCTTTAAGAAGCAACAACCTTTTCATTTTTTAAATTTTATGAAATTGAATTTGAACTTTTTTTTTAACACTTAGATGTTTTAATTTAATACTTCATATTGTAAAAAATAAAAAAAATTTATATTAAGTTTTATTCCAATTTAATTTATATACTCTAGAAACGTCAAATTACACTTGGTGGTTATTTTGATAAATTTAGTTATTGGAATCTGGAGATGTTACCTAAACAGAATGTTATATTAGATGGATTTGATTGGCTGGGTGGAGCAGAAACGGTATTTGATTTAAGTAAAAATTAAAGTTTGTTTGACTTTTTAATGTGTTATATATATAATTTTACTATGTAACAATATATATATACTATGTATATAATTTTACTATGTAGCAATATATATATATATATATATATATATATATATATATATATATATATATATATATATATATATATATATATATATATATATATATATATATATATATATATATATATATATATATATATATTATAGAGTATAGAGTAGCAATTTCAGTGTGACATCAGACTACTTGCCACAAACAATATTGAGTTACCTTATGACCAGAGCTTGGTATTGCTTCCAAATATTTGAAAGCGCTACCTACTGCATCATTGGTAACCAGAAACCACTGTCTCTCTAGTGCTACTTTATCAAACTTTAAGTGAATTTAACAAAACAAAATTAGTAGCACTAGTTTGCTATCAAAATAATTTTTTATTTTTATTTTAAAACAAAAAAAAAATTAACTGTCCTCTTCCACATTAAGCTTTTAATATCCATATGGGATGATATAAAGTGACAGTTTTTTTTATTGCTTTTACACTCTTTTTAGCTGCACAATGACGGTGCTTTGATAGAATGATATCATCATTGCAAATTTTTAGAAATTTTTCTACAAGAACATTCCTCCAGGTTAGGATCCGTATATATTTTTTCTAGCAGGCAGGAAAACAAGATTCAGTCAAGCACTTATTAAATAGTTTAGAGAAAATTGAAGAGAGTTCTGGAGAACAATTTTGTAAGACTGTGATAGGAATGTTGTCTGGACCACAAGCCATAGAAGAGTTAAATCGAGATATGACTATGAGTAATGGAAGCTGAAATGATTCGAATGTCTAACAATGGGTTAACTTGTTTAATTAGAATGGAAGGAAGAGAATGGCCATAAGATTCGAAAGTCGGATTAGAAGAGAATTTCTTTGCAAATAGTTCAGCCTTATTTTATGAATTTAAGTATAGCCAAGTACCAAGTATATTTCTATATTTTTAATTTTATTTAAATTCATTACCCTAAGGTCACAAAGGTCACTTTAATTGAGGAGGCTATTTTAGTTATGGTTACAACCCACTTTCAACTTTAGAACTCAGAAACACAAACCTTGATGAACAATGCCGCTGCGTGTAGAAACAAGTTAAGCGCTGTACTACCAGGGACGTGGTGAAGATCCAACATTACAAGTTAAAATATTCTAAATAGGGCTTTGGAGCCAAGGTCTAAAAGTTGGCTAAAATTGTTTTATGACAGTAACTTAAATACTATTAATATTTTATTAATCAAAATCTTGATTCATCCTTAAAAATAAAATATTGTCTAAAATATCTGGTTTGAGTGAAGAATGCAGATTGCTCGATATAAACTTAAGAGCAGAAAATAGCCTCTCTACACTTGCTTGTGAGACAGGCATACAAGTGACTGTAACTCTGCACGCTTCTTGTATTCTTTTTGGGTACTCTTCAATTCCCTCAAAAGCTGACCTTAAATGTCCCATTTCTTCCATTACTCTACAATCCTCCATAAAATTTGTATTAAAAGTATTTTTATCATTAAAACTAATTTTGCTCAAACTTCTCCTTTTTTCTTTTTTATCAAACTCTTTTTCAAAGTCATCTTCTCCATCGGAGTTAGATTCACTTAAAACTGAAAGAAGTGTTGTAGATGGGTCAGCAGTATTTCCTATTATTTGACTTTCTATCATACTTTTAGCATCTCTTTTATAAATTTTTTTCTTCTACTGTTTTTAAGCCTTGTTTTGCTTGTATTATTTGGTTTTCTTCCAACAGTATTCTATATCTGGCATCAACATAAACTGCAGCTAGAAATTTATCGTTATCAAAAAGTTTTTCTTCTCGTTTCTGCATTGATTTTGAAATGTCTTCTGCAATTAGTCCTTGATTCTTCTCAGTCAGATTTCAATTTTAACCATTCCTTTAGGAATTCTCCTGGAGTGATGTCGATTCCTTGAAGTTTAACTGTCACATCATACGGCTTTTTTAAAAGGTTGCAAAGATGACTCAACTCATTCCATATTTCAAGGGGTTGAAAGAATATCTGATCAACTGCACCAAATTGCTCACACAGTGGACGCAAAAGTTATAATCGTTCAATCATCCAGATGTAACACCTGTTACATTATCCAAAATTGGAACGACCTTGTTTTGCTTCCTTGCCAATGATATTGTATGTGAGTTTCTTAATTTTTTTACAACATAACGGACTTTTGCCAAAAGTTGGGCAATGTATGGTTTTTTTAAAGCATCGCGAATAGCTAGCTGCAAAGTGTGAATAACACAGCGCATCAGCTTAATGTAATGAGACAATTGATGACACTAATCTGGGAGGACAAAGGCTAGATTTTCTTCCCAAGCCGCAGCACTTTCTTCCTCATTTGTATCCTGTTGTAAAAACTCCTCTTGTTCTTCGTCCTGTAAGGCTTCATCTTGAAAATTTTCATCATCAGAATATTCGTTTAAAAGCGTGACTGCTCTAATCATATTAGCTGCATTGTCTACACTTGCACATACTATTTGATCTTTGCTGACCAAATCTATATAGAGTTTCTTCCACCATTTTTTTGATAGCAGCAGAGTTGTGCTGTATTCTGTCTCTATCGGTGCCAAAGTTTTAACTTGATTTTTTCCCGCATAATAATATTGAATATTTATTCCCAAATAGTTCTTTTGGTGTCGAGTGGCTGCATCTATTTTCACATATAAAAATTTCTGTAACAGTATTTCTTTTACTTCAGCTTTCTTTTTTTCAGCAAATTCATTAATTAAATTGCATACAGATTTGTGTCCAGTACTGAATCCAAGAGTTTTACCTAATTGGCCAGTAACCAACTGAAATCCTTCATCCGCAAATGTTTTCAACCAAACTCTGTTATTCGCTACCATTTTAATAATTCCCATTTTAAAAGTTTTAGCACTAACTTGATTTATTGTTCTACTACTAGTGATAGCAAAAGAATCTAAAGTAGACTGCTTTGATTTTTTAGTATTTATATCTTGTGAATGTGATAAAAATGATAAGGCTCATTTCAGATTCAATAATTTTATATTCTGATAAATGTGATCTTTCCAAATGTCGTTTCATATTGTAAACTTTTGATTTTTTTATTTGCACGCCACATGAAATCACTTTATCATTTATCGTTTCTGTAATCTTGCATGTCGCTAGTTTTGTAATTTTATCAATTGAAAAAAACTTATCTAGAAGCCTCTCAGGATTGTTTGAGTTTGAAGCCATTTTTATTAAAAACTATAGATAAAATAAACGACAATTAACCATTATATAGCACTATATAATTAATTCGCATTAATAATAAATAAAATTATTTAAAAACTTAACTATTCATTGATTAATTTTAATTGGAACTCACATGTTTTAAATGTTTTAACTTATTAAAAACATTAAAACGAATCATGTGACTTAACACATGGATAAAGTATATTTTCATTAACCAATCATTGACATTGTTTAGAAGTTTTGTTTTAAAGTAACTTATCAAACTCAATAATATGAACCACATGACATATTACACAAAATAATTTGATAATAATTGAGTTCTCAAAAAATTTTGAGAAATTAATTATTATCAATGTCATATTAATATCACAATATTATAAAACATTTAATATTATAATAATTGCCATTTTACCATTTTATTAAGCATATGATAAAATGCTATATTTAGAAATTATAAATATTTTAATTAGCCTAAATATTTGATTTCTTTAATAATAACTTTATGCAACTTTGGTTATTCAAAATATCAAAGAGCGGAGCTGGCTCCGGAGCCAGCTCCAACAGAAAATATTTTAGCTCCAGCTCCGGCTCAGCTCCATGTAAAATCACGAGCTCCGGACAGCTCCAGCTCCGGCTCCGGAGCTGCTCCAAAGCCCTAATTCTAAAAACAATTTATTTATCTAAAAATAATTTATGTCTAAACAACATATGATAGTTGTTTATATATCTGAATTACTAATAAATTAATAAAGAATTCTACGTAAACTGCATATGCATATTTTCTTTTTTTAAAACTAAAATAAAAAGCGTTCCTCCAAAATTGTATTTATTTTTTTGAAAGTTTTTTTTTCATAGTAGAAAAAGAAATTTAAATGTATATTTTTTTAATTGAATTTTTCTAATATCTTTTAAAAATAATTATTTGGCTTTGATTTGAGTCCAAGTATTTGTTTACCAATACCAATTTAAAGTTGTATGGTTTTATATTTTCAAATTTTTAATAATTAGTAAACTCATTGGTATCGGCCTTTTCCCATTCATCAGCATCGGCCAAAAAAGTGGTATCGGTACATCACTAATATATATATATAAACGGTACATCACTAATATATATATATATATATATATATATATATATATATATATATATATATATATATATATATATATATATATATATATATATATATATATATATATATATATATATATATATATATAAATAAACTTTTTTATATATATAAAGTTTCAAATTCAAATTTATTTGTAGTTTTTTATTATTATTATTCTAATATATATTTGCACTATGGAAGCATTTTATAGACTTTATGAGTACATTTAGAGGCGTTTTTAAAATCTTTTAATTTTGTTCGAACCAGATTTGTGCATTTTTACATTTTCGGTAGGTTTTGCATTTTTGGTGTTTAAAATTATTAACTGCCAAGCATGGAATAAACTCAAAAATTTTATATCTTCATGATGATATCAAACAAAGATAGTTTACAAAAAATTACGGCAATTAGAACTTGGGGGGGAAAAATACCCCAATAATTTTTCCCTCTTAACCCCTGTATAGAAAAATGTTATTTTTATAAAAAAAATACGTTTTTTATTTTTTAACAGACCAAAGGTCTATTAATTATTAATAGAAAGTTATCTAGCTATCATCCTAGCTATTGTCCTCTAAATTGAAGTAGTACAATAAATGCTGACTCCACACAGCCTTTAC